AACACTATGTGGTCCCACCAGTCTGTGCTTGTTTGCCAGGCCCAGAGTCGGCATTCCACTGTATCAGCCTGCCCCACTGCCGCCATAATGTCCCAATTGCCACATCCCGTGCTTTCAGGAACATCTGTGTCCATGTCCTCCTCACAATCGTCCTCGTGCTGGCAGATCCTAGTCAGGTTCTGCACATACTGCAGGATAATGTGTGAGGTGTTTACAATGCTCACAACAGCAGCGCTGAGCTTAGCGGGTTCCGTGCTTGCCATGCTATGGCGTCTGCATGGGTAGCCCAGGAAAAAAGGCGTGAAATGATTGTCTGCCGTTGCTTTCACCGAGGAAGGGAGGGACGACTGACGACGTACCTTAAACCATCCGCGACAATGTTTTTGCCCCATCAGGCATTGGGAGCTTAACCCAGAATTCCAATGGGCAGTGGAGACTACGGGGACTGTGGGATAGCTACACACAGTGCACCGCTCCATAAGTCGATGCTAGCCATGGTATTGAGGATGCACTCCACCGACTTAATGCGCTTAGTGGGGACATACACAATTGACTGTATAAAATCGCTTTCTAAAGCTCGACTTCTATAAAATCGACCTAATTTCATTGTGTAGACATACCCTTCGTCTCAGGGCAGGCTGACTTAGTGGTCTGAGTCAATATAGCGGCCTTCTCTTTCAGGGCTGTGCGGCCTAATGGCCAAAGTCAATATGGTTGCCCTCCCTCTCAGGGCTGTGCGGCTTAGTAGCTGGGGTCAATATAGATGCCCTCTCCCTCAGGGCTCGATGGCCTAATGACCAGGGTCAATGTGGCTGTTCTCTTTCACAGGGCTGTGCGGCTTAATGGCCAAGGTCAACACAGTTGTCCTCTCTTGCAGGGCTGTGTGGCCTAGCACCCGGAGTCAATATAGGTGCAGTTTAATGGTTGTAGAGGGAGATGGCCGGAGTAGGAGGCCTGGGCCCCACCATTCCACTGGGTCCCAGCCCAGGGCCCTGTCAGCAGTGAATGTACTCATCACTGAGTCAGCAGAGATCCTACCAAAACATGCTGAATTAATGCCCAGCTCTATAACTGGACCAATGTCCTTCTGGGCTACTTCCTGCCCTGTCTCTCGATGCAGTGGTCCAGGTGTTTCCGGGTTCTTTGACCTGTATAGATCTCTGCGGCTCTGTTCTCCCTCGGGCATCCTCAGGTAGCCAGGTATCAGCCTGGGTCTTGGCGGGTCTGGCCTCCACAATCTGGGGCTTCCACAGCTCCCAGGCTGGAGCTGGCAATGTGCATCCTCCCTCCTCGGCGGTCAGCCCTGACTGAGATGAGCTGCTCCCTGTTATACTGGTGCTCCAATTGGAGGATGCCCAGAAGGGGGGCAGGGACATGGCTTCCTCAGCCCATAGTGTGGGGTTAACCCTTCCCTGTCCAGTGCAGGGCGAGTGCAGCCCATCAGTGTCATTTTGAATTCTAATCCTGTCCTCCAAAGTGTTTGCAACCTCTTCCAGTTTGGTGTCATCCACAAATTTTATAGGCATACTCTCCACCCGTACATCTGAAACAATGGTCTTGTTTCTTTTAAAACGTATTCGAGCCAGTTTGTATAAAGCGTAAGCGTCCTGCTCTGAATGCCAAGTTGTTACTTGTCTTCTATTTAAAGTTTTACTATGCTTTTTGGCCACTTGAAAAAGAGGGTTCACCCCGCCTAAGCTCCCAACTTCCCCAGGGGTGTAATATATTTTCTTTAACGGGGTGGTGAAGGAATCCATGTTTCCTCAGCATTTCCAGTTTCTAAAACTCGTGTTCTTTGAACTAAATGGCCTCTTCCGTGCAGTGCTGGGAAATCTGCAGTGCAGTGCAAATCTCCTCTCAGGGTGGTCCTATGGGGGGTGAAACTCATCTTGATTGGTAGAGGGTGGTGAGAGGAATTCTTAGAGGTGTCACATGACACCCTTTGCTTCCAGTCATGTGTCCATCTTGACCCTGGAAGTAATAGCCCAGGGTGCGAGTCTTAGGGTGACAGGTCAGTGGGGTCTGAGGGGAGAGGGCAGGGCCTACATTTGATTGATGATAGGCCCCTTTCTATTACATCTTACAATGTATTTTGTCTGTCTAAGGGTATGTCTACACTAGAAATGTAAGTCAACCTATATTGGGTTTACTTATAGCCATCATAGTAACTACTGAGGTGGTGCATGTCCACATGATCCTCCTTGGGTCGGTGGTGTGCGTCCTCACCAGGAGTGTTTCCACCAATCTAAAAAGGGCAGTTTGAGGAGCTGAGAGCCCGGTCTCTCAGCTCCACTGGCACCTCCCTGCCAGGAGCCCGGATGTCCCACAGGCTCCCGGGGAGCTGCCCCCCCTTCCTTCCCCCTTCCCTGCTGGGAGCTGGGGGAAGCCACCTGGGGCTTCTTGCCCTCAAGGAGAGGGGTGTAGCTGCTCTGGCTTCTTGCCCCCCTCCCCAACCCATTCCCGGCCAGGAGCTGGGCAGCCTCGTCAATTTCACAGCTCACCAAGCCTGCCTGGCTCCTGGTCCTGTGTGTGGGGGGGCTGCTGGGGCTTCTTGCCCCGGCTCCCAGCTGGGAGTGGGGACCAAAGTTGCCGGGGCTTCTCCCTCCAGCTCCCAGCTAGGAGCAGGATCCAATCACCCAGCTCGTCTAGGGGAACGGGGGGGAAGAGTGGGAAAAGCTGGGCTCTAGCTGCCTGGCTTTCTTGGCAATTTCACAACTCCTGTAAGGAAGGCAGTGTCTACACAGATACTGTGGTGCCCTAACTACAACGACATAAGCCTCTCATGGAGGTGGAGTTATTAAGTCTGTGTAGTGGGGCACTTACATCAACAGGAGGAAGGATGTAGTGTAGATACAAACATAATTAGGTCAACATAAGCTGCTTTATGTAGTTCCAAATCCCTGACAAGGTCATTCAGTTCACCTTGTGTTATGAGGTGCGGTTCAGAGGAGGAGGATGGGAGAAAATGTGGGTCCTGTGACATTGATGGTTCAGGACCAGAAGTTTCATTCTCTTCCTCTTCCTCGTCTGACTCAAGTGAGAATGATTCTAGTGCATCAGGAACCGACACTCCTTCTCCCTGTGGTACTGGGCG